TGTTCATCTTCCCATCTTTTCACTATCATTGACTCACCTCATTTCCTCCCTCCCTTAGCTTGGATTTCATTGGCAATCATAATCAGTCTCTTCCACACAGCATCAACTCCATTGCCCTATCATGCATTTTGTACACTATTTGAAAAATCCCAGTCTTGATTAAATACACCCTGACTAGTCTTACTTCAAAATCATGATGCTCTAACCTCAAGTAGACCCTCGGTACTGCCTAGAGAGCCTATAACATATTTCCAGCTCACTCACCCTCTCACACTCCAGATGGCTATTTTGTACCTGCCCCTGTTTCCTCAAACCTCTAGCTTCCACTATTACCTTAATCACCTACCTACGTCTAACCCACATAATGTGCCTTCACTCTTATTTCTATAGATAAACTTTGCCTGGTTCTGAGGCAAGTTCCGTCACTGTGTACTAGATCTTACTCCTGCTAATCTACTAAAGGACAATGCTTTAACAACAATTCTCCCTTCTATCTTTTTGCATCATTTGTGTTCCCTCTGTATTAATGCCATCAACATACAGACATACTATAAATTCTTTCATCTTAAAAACAAACAACAACAAAATAATACCCTTGACTTCACTTCTTCCTTAAGCTACTATTCCATTAAAAAATTTTTTTTGTTGTTTACCACAATTTCTCTAAAGACTTGCCTAAATTTGCAGTCTCTTTTTCTCCTCCTTCTGTTTGTCCTCCACCCCAGTCAGGCTTTCTCCTGTAACACTCTGCTGAAACTGCTCTCATTAAAGGATAGAGAGACCTTCCTCCTCATTGCTAAATTCAATAGTTAAGTCTCAATGCTTATCTTACTTGGCACATCATTAAACACAAATAATCATTCTTTTGTCTCTGAAACATTCTTCAATTGGATTTGAAGTCACTACTTTCTCATTATGTTTCTCCTCTCTTACTTGCTATTTTCCAGTCTCTTCTTTTGGTTTCATTTCTCCTCTTTATCTTTAAACTTTGGATTGTGCTAGGACTCAATTTTTGGTTTTCTTCTTTTCTCTATTTAGAGTTAATTTTTTAAGGATTTAATTCAGCCTCATGGCTTTAAAAAGCAACTACTAAATGTCTATATATAGCCCAGTGCTCTCCCTTGAACGCTAAACTCACATATGCAACTTTTTGTATTTATAATCTCTTTCCTTCTTCAGCAAATGGCAACTCTATCCTTTCACTTGCAGAGGCCAAAAACCATAGGATAATCTCTGACATCTTTCTGCTATACTCTTGTTTCTAATCCACCAGTACAACGTGTTTATTCAGCCTTCAAATTGTATCTAGAATCTAAATGGACAAGTAGCATATCTATTGGATCAACCTATCCCCAGATAACAACTGTACACTCTGGACAAGATTTAAAAGACAGCTACCTAAAGGCAGTAGAGAATGAATAAAAGCAGGTAGATTTGGGAGGGAAGTCACTAGGAAGTATGGAAAGGCATGGGGCAGGTTTCCCATCTTTTTTCTTTCTCTCTCTCTCTCTCTCTCTTTTTTTTTTTTTAATTACAGCTTTTACCCTGAGGGCAAGCACTATCTGTATTTTAGGGAGATATTAAAATTCCGATAGAATGCCTACAGTTTTCTTTCTTGAAGAACCAGAGGACAGAAATCACGGCAACCAGAGTGTATTAGCTATGGCTTTATAACAAATTGTCCTAAATTTAGTGGTTTAAAACAACACCCATTTAGTATCTCAGTTTCCATGGGTCAGAAGTCCAGTACAGATTAACTGGGTCCTTTGCTCAGTGGTTATTGGAAGAAATCACTTACTTGTGGTTGTATGATGCAGATCCCTGTTTGCTTACCAACTGTGGTTCAGGGATGACTCAGCTCTTAGAGGATGCCCACAGTTCCTTGCCACATGGCTCCTATAAGAAGTTCCTAACGTGGTGATTTGTTTCTTTCTGGCCAGCAAGGGCATGTTGCTCTAACATCTTCCTCTGTGACCAACTGGAGAGAAAGTCTCTTCTTTATAGGGCTCATCTGCTAGCAGGGCTACCCATGATAACCTTCCTTTTGCCATATGAAGAAACATGATTATGGGAATAACCCTCATCGTGTTCACAGGCTCTGCCCATACCCAAGGGAGAATTAACCTTGGCTCTGCACAAGGTGGCAAGAGTCTTGAGGCCATCCTAAAAAATGAAGGGAGGTCCTGGAAGAAGAAAGTCTGAGAGAAGGATCTCCAGGGGCTGCATATAAACTCTGCCTATATCTCTGGCTGACCTCTGAACCACATATGCATGGGAGGGGCTCTAAGCAGTGTAGACATAGACAGGATAAACTAAAGGAAATGAACTGAGATTAGATCTTTTGCGTGATGCAGGACATTTTTCTTACTATATTCTCAGAGCAGAATTATCTAATTCTTATTCTCTGCCTGTGGAAATCCTGTGTCCTTTTCAAGGCCCAACTCATAAGACACATCCTTCTTAAAGTATGAAAATGATTCCACAAAATAAATTTTCACCTTTATATAGATTTACTTTATTCTTCCTTGTAAACTTTCCTTATAAATACCTACCTTATAACCAGGTATTTATATGTCTATATCACTAGCTAGAAAGTGCTTTGAGGGCAAGCAACGGTTTATTTACTCCTGCATACCAAGCATATTCCATTGCACAGAATAGCTTAGTGGAGATCAAATTTGTTATATTAAATTGCATCATGATAATAAAGTTATCCAGAATCTGACTATCTCTTGTATAAACCACCATGATCTTTTGCTTGGATTATTATAATCGCCAATGACTGCTTTTGCTGCCCCTGATCTTTGCCTATTAATAGTATGTTCCCAACATGGTAGCCAACCCACAGCTAACATCATACTCAACAGTGAAAAGCTGAAAAATTTTCCTCTCAGATCAGGAAAGACAAGGACGCCCACTCTTGCCATGTTTATTTAACATGGCCAGAGCAATTAGGCAAGAAAAAATAAAAGCCATCCATATTGGAAAGGAAGAAGGAAAACTATCACTATTTGCACATGACATAATATTACATATAGAAAACTGTAAAGACTCTACTAAAAAACTCTTAAAACTAATAAACAAATTCAGTCAAGTTTCAGGATTAAAAAATCAATATACAAAAATCTGCGGTGTTTCTATGTACTAATAATAAACTGTCAGAAAGAGAAATTAAGAAAATAATCTTATTTATAATTGTATCAAAAAGAATAAAATACCTAGGAATAAATTTAAACAAGTAGGTGAAAGACCCGTACACAGAAAACTATAAGACATCAATTAAAGAAACTGAAGAAAACACAAATAAATGGAAAGATATTCCATGCTCATGGATTGAAAGAATTAATGTTGTTAAAATGTACATACTACCCAAAGAAATCTACAGGTTCAATGCTATCTCTGTCAAAGTTCCAATGGCATTTCTCACAGAAATAGAACAAGCAATCCTAAAATATGTATGGAACCGAACTGCAAAAGAACCCCAACAGCCAAAGCAACCTTGAAAAATAAGAACACAGCTAGAGGCATAACATTTCCTGATTCCAAACTATATTATAAAGCTATAGTAACCAACACAGTAGCTAAAATAATCATTTTTTTAAGTTCACTACACAGATCAAGTAATGCCACTCAAAGGAGCCTCCAACTATTTTCATCTTATTCTGCTATAAATCCACAGCCCTTGCATATATCTCTAAGGCATGCGTGGCCTGCCCCTGCTGTTTTCTGACCTTTTCCTCTTGTGTGTTTGGCCACTCTGACTTCCTCAGGCAGAGCCTACTGTGCCCTCAGGGACTTTGCACTTGCTATTCTCTCCAACTGGTTAGACCAGGGCCTTCACCTTCTCCAGGTCTTTGTTCAAGTGTTACTTTATCAGTTTTTCCTTGTCCACTATATTCAGAGCCCCTGAGCTAATGCTGTCTAGCCCATTTCTTGCTTTATTCACACCATAGCACTCATCACCAGAGGACTTCATTCATAGTTTCATATTTATTTGTTTATTGTTTACTTGCCTTCATAGAATGTCCACCCCATGAAGGCAGGGATTTATTGTTGTTCATGACTCTATCTCCAGCGTCTTGAGCAATGCCTGGCCTAAAATTCTTTGTTGAATGAATGACAAAATTAATGATTTCATTTTTATTTATATTTTATTTCATTCTCAAGCCATCTTATTGTGTAGGTAGAGGATTTTTGTTATAATTTGCTTCAAGTTTTCTTTTTTAAGCAATCAGTGACTATATTATAAATGAGTGGCCTTTCATGAATGTTAAAATTGGAGTGGCATTAATATTTCATTGGAGGGTTAAAAAAGCATCAAAATAATAGTCAAGTTTAACATTTACTGAACAGAACATTTCA